CAGTGCCTAGGACTTGCTGATCGAAAGGTCGGCGGTTCGAATCCCCGCGCAACGGGGTGAGCTCCCATCGTTCAGTCCCAGCTCCTGCCCACCTAGCAGTTCGAAAGCACCCCTAAGTGCAAGTAGATAAATAGGGACCGCTTTCTAGCGGGAAGGTAAACGGCGTTTCCGTGTGCTGCGCTGGTGCTGGCTCACCAGATGCAGCTTCGTCATGCTGGCCACGTGACCCGGAAGTGTCTTCGGACAGCGCCGGCTCCTGGCCTCTTGAGCGAGATGAGCGCGCAACCCTAGAGTCGGTCACGACTGGCCCTGACGGGCAGGGGTACCTTTTACCTTATTATTATTATTATTATTATTTGGCCACTTCCTTCCGGCTTATAAAAGATTCAGCCCACCTTCATATACACAGGTGTCTCATGCCCCCACCCCAAAACTCTGTACTGACAGGAAATGAGACAGGGTTCTTTCGGCAGGGAGGAGGGAAAAAACAGAGAAAGAACTCTCCAATTTCACAAAGTCAACCCTCATTGTCAAACGAAGAGGCAGCTGAGAATTCTCCCAGTCCAAAGGCACGGTATGGCGTTCAAGAGACGACACACAAGAGAAACACAAAAATATCTCGTTAACTTTTTTTTTTTACAATTCTAACCACTGAACAAGCTACTCCCCCCCCCTTCTCTCTCAATAATTTATACCTGAATGGCTCGTCTAGACATGACATCATTTTAAGGTATGCCTGGTGTTCTGTGGTCCGTTTACAATAACCAGGATGTATAATTGCCTTCGTTCAGGTCAGCAAAAGGGGCGATTAGTGGGCTGGGAAGCGGAGGGGGGCAGTGGCGGTGGTGGAGGAGCAGAGGAGGAATATCACAAAGGCCTTTCTCTCCGCAGCTGTTCTGGAGAGCGGTTTTTATAGCCTGTTGTTTTCTGCCAAGGAGACGGAACCCTAGCAATGCTCTCGAATCCACACTGAACCGCTATCCCTTGCAGGGAGGCAAAAGGGAGAGTGAGGGAGAACGACACATACCGCAGATAATCTCCGATTCGCAAATGGTTTCGGTGTGAACAGTTCCTATTAAAGCCATGAAGGGAAACCAGCTGTGGATGGCGGCCAGGATCTACTTGCATGGGTGAAGGCTGAAAGGCAAGACCCTTGATTCCTTTGCAAAACAGATCGTGGAGCTGCTGCGGGACTTGAGCAAATGGCTCCCTCTGTTAAATGGACAACCCTCTTATAAAGGACAACTGCTATAAAAGTTCAATCATATCTTGTGCATGGGCTCGGTTCCAAGGATTGCACATACAGTCGTACCTTGGTTTTTGAACAGCCTTGTTCTCGAACGTTTGGGCTCCCGAACGACCTTCCTGCAGCCAATCAGAAGCTGCGCTTTGGTTTCCGAACGTTTTGGAAGTCGAACGGACTTCCGGAACAGATTTTGTTCGACTTCCAAGGTGCGACTGTATACGCAAAAATGCATTTGCTCGGTGCTATTTTTCTAGAAAAAGAGGTGCCGGAACTCACCTTGAATGCCTCCCTTGTTCTCTTTTAATTGCAATGATGCCCACCTGAGAGGTGCCGGAACTGAGTTCCAGCGAGTTCTGGCTGGGGGGGGAAACCTTACATATACTCAAACCCTTGGAGTCACCTCTCCACAAACATCTCAAGGCTTCTGGAGGCGGCATGCAGAGATTTTCTTGTCACCTCCCCACCATCAGCAAGGGAAATACTACTACTACTACTACTAATAATAATAATAATAATAATAATAATTTATTATTTATACCCCGCCCATCTGGCTGGGCTTCCCCAGCCACTCTGGGCGGCTTCCAATCAAATATTAAAATACAGTAATGCATCAAACATTAAAAGCTTCCCTAAACAGGGCTGCCTGTTTAAAGACTTTTTCTGCTGTGCTTTCCCAGCACAAAAAAAAAAATCTTTTGAACTCTTTGCCTTACTTGCATTTAACTTGCAGGATTTCAACCAGTGGCCTCCAAACTCATATGGTTGAAATCGTGCAAGCGCAATGCATGTACGATGCACCCATACTGTATCTAATTTGTGCCCACTGCTACCTTTGAAGGGTTTCAAACTTTTAAAAAATTGAGTCGTACCAGCTGATAGCTCCTAACCTCAGAGGGTTTGGAGAAGTTAAATCTCGGGCGCAAACTACGTGCTACAGGAAACATGTGTACATGTGTGAGATGTGCATGCATGATTATGCAGGCCATTTTTATTTTGAAGGGAAAAACAGCTGGCCAGGCTCTCTATCGGCCTTCCAATCAAGAGCAGGGTCCAGCGTTGGGTTTCCTGCCAAAAAATCACCCCCCGCTGCCCCCAAAGGCGCAGTAGAAAGCATATTTAGGGGTCAAATAGCAGTTGGGAGGTGGGCAGGAAATCAGGGGCCCACACAGCTGCATTTCATTCAAAATAAGAGTAGTTAGGTGGCTTTAAAGTGTGTGGGGGGTTAATATAATGTACTGCTTGCTCCTCAACGTATGATGGGAGCGAGGACACGTTCTCTTTAGTAGAGCACATGACTGTAAGCCAGAGCTGCGAAGATCTGTAGCCCTCCTCCAGATGTTGACGGACTCCAAATCCCATTGGCTCCAGCCAGCATGGCCAATGGTTTCCTGTCCCTGTAAGCTAATCCCGAGAAACCTGCAGTTAACCTGTAGAGTTTAATCTTCCCTTTCAGCCCTTCCTCAGCAGGCCAACCAGATGATTTTAAGATCATGTAGCTGCTGGAAGATGCAGGTAAGTACATCAGCCATAAGGTAGCGCCATCTGTGTTTGCTGCAGAAAAGGTAGGATAAGCCTTTCTGAACTGTGCAAGTGCTAAAAGTTAAGAGTAGCTTGAATGTTTTAAATTCTGTTTCTTTGAATTCACTTAAGGGACGTGGGTGGCGCTGTGGGTGAAATCACAGAGCCTAGGACTTGCCGATCAGAAGGTCGGTGGTTCGAATCCCCGTGACGGGGTGAGCTCCCGTTGCTCAGTCCTTGCTCCTGCCAACCTAGCAGTTCGAAAGCACGTCAAAGTGCAAGTAGATAAATAGGTACCGCTCTGGCGGGAAGGTAAACGGCATTTCCGTGCGCTGCTCTGGTTCGCCAGAAGTGGCTTAGTCATGCTGACCACGTGACCCAGAAGCTGTATGCAAGCTCTCTTGGCCAATAAAGCAAGATGAGCACCGCAACCCCAGAGTCGGCCACGACTGGACCTAATGGTCAGGGGTCCCTTTACCTTTACCTTTTTATTCCCAACTTATTGGTTTGATGATCCTTTTGCTCCCCCCCCTTGTTTGTTTGTTTGTTTACACATTAGTGTTTTACACTTATATCGTAATGCCCTTCAGCCATCATCATCATCATTAATTTATACCCCGCCATCTGGCTGGGTTTCCCCAGCCACTCTGGGCAGCTCCCAACAGAAAATTAAAAACACGCTAAAACATCAAACATTAAAAACTTCCCTAAACAGGGCTGCCTTCAGGTGTCTTCTAAAAGTCAGATAGTTGTTAGATGATAGCTCTTGAATGAGACCTGTATAATTTGTGACTCTGTCTGCCTTTTTAAACATATACACCTAAGGTGTCTTACTCCCCGCTCCCAATTCTTCCAGTTGCACCTTGTAAGCTTTCCAGTGGGACATTTTGATATTTGAATACCTGAAAGTCCACCTCCTTCCTTCCCTACAGACTCTTTCAGGTTCTGAAATTGGCAGAGGGGGCCCTCTTGGTAGTTCCTCTGCCCTCAGAGGCTGTTGGGGGGACACAGGACAGGGCCTTCACTGTGGTTGCCCCTAAGTTGTGCAGCTCCCTCCCTACAGAGGTGTGCCTGGCGCCTTCATTGCACAGCTTCCGGAAAATGCTGAAGACTCACCCCTTTACCTCAGTTTCTGGCACATGCAGTGCAAATCTATAGGAACCATCTTATTTTGATAATTTTAAGTTGTTTTAAGCTGCTTTTCACTTTGTGCTTTAATGTTGGGAAACAACAAGCAAACAAACACTTCCTACTGCCACTAACTTACAAAAACAAATACTTCCTACTGCGACTAACTTATAAATCCATACCATACATTTAAAACAGATGGTTCCCCTCGCCCCAATAATCCTGTGCATTGTAGTTTTCTAAGGGTGCTGAGATTTGTAGTTTCGTGTGGGATAAATTACATTGTCCAGTATTCTTTTGTGGGGAGGGTAGCATTCTGCTTTAAACGTATAATGTGCATATAACAAAAGTAAATTTAGCCTGGAGTAGGGACACCTTAATAAACCTATGAGATGCTGCCATTTCTTAAGATTTCACCCCCATAAAACGCTGCTTCTTTTTTTGAGCTTGAGATATACAGCATATTTCTCTTCTTCCTACAGTCCCTGCCCCACCCCCACACCAATCTCTTGGTAGTCCCAAGCAGAGAGCAATTGTGTGCTTTTGGCTAAAAACACAGCATTTGAGAAACCAGATCTTGCTCCAATATAAAGGGAAAACTCCTGGATCATTTTTGGAAGTTGTACAGACAAAGGAAGCCCATCTCTTGGGGAGCTGGATTACCAAATGCATTCAGGGCCTCTTGCAGAAATAAATCTGGTGTTGTTCAGCTCAGTCTTCCCAAGCGGACTGCTCTTTGTGGGTTTGAGGAGGGGAGGGGAAATGCCAGGGGGTAGCCTGGAGATGTAAATGGTTTTATTTAAGAGCAAAACGCAGAGAATGGTCCACTTGATAGACGATGCCTTTAAGAACCAGTAAAAGGAAACATTAAAAGAAATTATGGTAAAGCTATAGATTTTCAAAGTGGCTTTTTCAGATGTATTGCTTTCTTTAAGGTACAGGCATTTTCTTTGTCTTGAAATCAAAAGGGTTCTGCAGGTTTTTTGAAACATCGCAAAACCTGCAAGGCCTGTTTGAAGAGCAATGATCAAAGTCCATTTCAAACTAACAAAACAAACCAACACCAACAGCCTAACTCAGTATAAAGCAGCTACCTCTGTTACTATGATGTGATGGATTGCGCTTCTATTCAAAACCGTCATTCTTTTTCTAAATTTTCATTAACACATTAAAATATGGAAATCACGTGCAAATCTGTGTCTTCGACACAAAGGGTTGATAGTTGTTTTCATTGTTTATTATCAATTTTATTTTTTCTTGTTTATCATGAGGTAAACTGCCCTGGGACTTTTGGTGAGAAGCAGGTCATATATACGCTAAACAAGATAAATAAAGATAAGTGGCCACCCTAACTTTAGCACCGCTCCCCTTACACCTGAGAAAACTCCCTCCCCTCCCAATTGTACAATTGTACTGAATTTCTGAAGGCACTCCGAGAGCCTTTTTGCCTAAATGGTGGGATTTAAATGCCTTAAAGAAACAAACAAATGGGGAACAAGGGGGAAAAAATGAGGTAAACCTCCTGGGAATTCCTGCCAAATGCACATTCTCAGCTTGTCATTACTGACGTTCAACAAATGAAAAAGAAAGGAAATGAATGAATGTGAGAATCGGCATGGTCAGCAAGGGGTTACTTGATCCCAGACCAGAACCAGCTCCCTTTCCCATATAGCTTGCACCCTTTGACTTGTATCTCTGTGTTGTTGTTTTTTTTAATAAGGCTTTCTAAAAAGAAACAAGAGCTGAAAAATTCAGAGAGAAGGCCTAGTTCATTTCAGGAGCCAGGGGTGGTGTTGGCGGGGAACCAAACAAACTACAATTCCCAGAATGCTTTGGGAGAAGCCACGGCAGTTGAAACTGTTTTGTGTAACCAAGGAAGCAGACAAATCCTTAACAGCAGAGAGCCAGGGAGAGAGGAAAATGAACCAGACACAAAGTATGCTGATAGACGGCCTCACTCGGACCAAGCATGTTGCCAGCGCCGCTCTCATCAGAATAGTGGACGGCAACATCCTGGCAACGACTCCGGGCTTCAACATCCAGAGCCAAGCCCTGGTCTTCCTCCAAGCTTTTTTTAAGGAGCTGCTCCAAGTCAGAAGAGACGGGCTTTACTTCAAAGACCGGTACTACAAGTGTGTCCGAGCCGACGACCACTCCATCTACCTCAAAGGGAAAGACAACGGGGTGATATTGGCCAAAACGGGGACCTTCATCGTGGTCGGCACTTACGCCCAAGGAATGTACCCCAGCGTGTGTGTGGAAGCCGTGGAGAAGCTGGCGGACTACTTCAGAGCAAAGGGAAACTGAAAAGGCTGTGGAGATGGAGCCATTTTACTCGGAGACCCAGCGCAGCCCAGCCCAGCAAGAGAACGGATCGCCATCGGCAAGAGAGAGCAGCTGATGCAAGGACCACGAATCCTTTTCACATGCATCCTACTTGTGGGGTTGGAGGGGAGAAAAATTAAATGCACACGAAGTAAAACCTTGGTGCTTGATTGATATATGTGTATCGTTTCAGGTTCTCCCTGGCCTGAAGCCTTGATTGGTTGAGGCTGGCTGCAATTCCTGGCTGGGGATGTTGTGGCCCTCTCTGCCTGGCCCTCAGGACTTTCCACGCTCCAGGCCATGCCTTCCCTCCAGGACACAACCACCAGTAGCCCTGCTCCTGACCCTATCTCAAGTGTCTGACATTCAGAAGACATCTGGGAAGTTCAGGGAAGTTTTTAATGTGTGATATTTTAGTGTATTTTTGGTTTCTGTGGAAGCCACCCAGAGTGGCTGGGGAAACCCAGCCAGATGGGAGGGGTACTTCTTCTTCTTCTTCTTCTTCTTCTTCTTCTTCTTCTTCTTCTTCTTCTTCTTCTTATTATTATTATTATTATTATTATTATTATTATTATCATCATCATCAGGATAGTGGTTCTTGCTTTCCTGGGTGGAGGGGTGTAGACAGTGTTAGAAATTCCCCAGGTGCCAGGCACATTTTGTGACTGGCTCGAGTCCAGTTGTGACCACATGGAGCTCTCTGAATGTCAGGTTAGTGACTGACATCTGGATAGCCTCCAGCTTCCTTAAGCAGGTAAGCAAAAGAGCTTCTTTACTGTATTTATATCCCACCATTTTCTCCTAGGAGTACATCGTTCACTCCTTGGTTAAATCCTACAATGACCCTGTGAGGGAGGTTAGGAGGCTGTGAGTGATTCCAAGGTCATCCAGTGAGCTTCCTGACTGAGTGGGGATTTGAACCCTGATCTCCCAGGTCCTAATCTGGCACTCTAACCACTACACCACACTTCCTAGAGTCCTTCTGCTATGGGCCAGCTCTATAAATTCAGTAGGTAAATAAATATGGGGAAAGCAAAATGTTACTTGGAGAAGGATCTGGACTGTTTCCCTTGAAACCTGAATGTGATTTATTCTGGGTTGTTTAATTTGATGTTTTAATGTGTTGTAAACCGCTTTGAGATTTTCCCCACTTTAAAGTATAAAGAGGTACAGAAATGAAAATCATCATCATCAATTTCATCGGGTGTGGGGGAATGGCACCTAGACATTCCATTGTGGCAACCGTAGCCCAGGTTTAAGGTACCATTTGATGATTTGCTTATATATCCGAGTTTCTGACACTGGTGTGGGCACAGAAATTTGGGGTAGACTGGAAGGTGTACTACAGAACAAAGGTAAGAGTCATCCTATCCATTGCTCCACCAATGTTAATCTCTGGGCCCACCCACTTTTGACTCTGAGCATGCCCACCACTGGCAGGTGAACCCCAAAAGATTCCCCATGAGGGAATGTGGCCCTCGGGGCTAAATATTTACCCCCCCACCCCCGTTCTAGAACATTCTGTGTAAGAGATTGCTGCAATGGCGAGGTATATATAATTTGATTCAGTTCTCCTTTAAAAGCAAACTGATCTAATTTATACTTACTGTTATTTATTATTTTTACAGTTTATATACCGCTTATATTTTTTTAAAAACAAAACTCTAAGCGGATTACAAAACAGATCGAAACATCAAAATAAAAAGTAATAATGATGGAAGTCGTCAATGATGATGATGGGCTTGGTGCTTCTGGCAACAATGACTGGGACATATCTGTAGTTTTTTAAGGGTTCTATCTTATGTCATAAATAGGTCATCTAGCGATCCTCTCTCTGGAGAAGAAACATTTCACCGCTTCTCCTTCCTTGTACCCATATGGCTTATTTCTCCAAAATGTACACCTGTGCATGTGTATGGTGTTAAAAAAAAGAGATACAGTGGTACCTCGGGTTACATACGCTTCAGGTTACAGACTCCGCTAACCCAGAAATAGTGCTTCAGGTTCAGAACTTTGCTTCAGGATGAGAACACAAATCGTGAGAACAGAAATCGTGCTCCGGCGGTGCAGCGGCAGCAGCAGGAGGCCCCATTAGCTAAAGTGGTGCTTCAGGTTAAGAACAGTTTCAGGTTAAGAACAGACCTCCGGAACGAATTAAGTACTTAACCCAAGGTACCACTGTAGATGAAATTCAGAACTTATCGGAAGTTAGGGGAAACACAACTCAGTCAGCTGGATTCAATCAGCTGGGAGGCGCAATGCTCTGATGGGTCCAGGAGCCCACCTGTCACCCCTGGCACTAACAGTTCCCCTACAAAAAAAATTCATTGCATGCCACTGCCTGCAACCCTAGAAAGCTGCTGCCAGCCAGGGTTAACAATACTGAGATGGAAAGCTCAGTAGTCTGCCTTGGTCTAAGGATGACACAACCATAAGGACACGAGACACCATTTTTTTAACAATGTGAGTCGTAGGAACAGAGTTTCTACACTGCCACAGAATCACAGCATGCAAACTGCCCTTCCCGTTATCAGCCAGGCGGAGGGGGTAATTTTGTTTCCCGGATTTGCACCATTCCATTTGAAGAAAAGAAAACTTGGGTCTAAAGACGGGAGAAGAGAGAGATGACGTCTGATATTAGCAAAAGTAAAACAAGGTTGTCATTTTCTGGCTGCCCTCAAATTGGCGCCAAGTTTCCCGGGTTGGTGGGGGACACACATTTGCCTCCCAGGAGAGGGTCCCTGGGCTTTGAACTTCGAAGCGTATGAGAGGAGGGGAAAGAGGCTAGCTGGAGGTGCCAGCATCATCTTGGATTGAAATCAATCAGACTGATGCATGATTGCAATAACTAGCCCACATCACCTCTGCGCTGCCCCTTTCCATATGGTCTTTATATCAGGATTCCGCAGGCTGGGTGGCTCATTTCCTGCTGCAGCTAAAAAAAATCCCCCTCGCTCCAAAAAGAGAGAAAGAAAACAAAGCAAAGAGAGACTGATCGTCCAGCAGAACTGTTTGACTAAAGTCCCTCCAAAGCTGAAGCAACAGCTCCGATTAAGTTCTTTGTTATCTTATCAACTTAGCTAGATGCAGAGAGAAGCCCAAACAAGGCAGGAATTAACTTAAGACTCACTCCAAATGTCAGGGAATCTGACATGTTCCATCACTTGGGGTTTACCTGAGACTTCTTTGGGCCCAGGGAGACATAGGAATAAAACCAGAAAGCACAGGAGGCCTCAGCACAGAAGCATACCCTCCAACATTTCTCCAGTGAAAACAGGGACAACCGATTTATTAGTATTAGTATTAGTATTAGTATTAGTATTAGTATTAGTACAGTGGACGCTCGGTTTGTGAACGTGATCCGTGCAAGATGCATGTTCGCAACCCGAAGTGTTTGCAACCCGCAGCGGCACATCTACGCATGTGGGGGTTGCGATTCAGCGCTTCTGCACATGTGCGACCACCGAAACCCGGAACTAACCTGTTCCGGTACTTCCGGGTTTTGGCGGGTCCGTAACCTGAAAAAACGCAACCTGAAGCATCTGTAACCTGAGGTATGACTGTATTAATATTAGTATCACCCTGCCCATCTGACTGGGTTGCCCCAGTCATTCTGGCCTACTTCCAACATATATAAAAACATAACAAAACATTACACATTAAAAAAACTTCCCTGTACAGGCCTGCCTTGAGATGTCTTCCAAAGGTTGTAGAGTTACCTACATCCTTGGCTCAGGGGTCACATTACTACATACCCTTCAACATTTCTTCGATGGAAATAGGGATGTTCTAAGGACATTCCAGGATCAAATCAGAAACCGGTATGGCTTCTTTAATTCTGGGACTGTCCCCAGAAAATAGGAACACTTGGAAGTTTGCAGTAGCCAGACCCAAATTAGTGATTTAATCACTGCTTGGGGCCTGCACAAGACATTCTGCTGCCTGGGATGAAGATGGTGTCTCCACCAGAGAGCGGCTGCACTGGCAACTGAATCTTGCAGCAACCCTGGCGATGGTATAGAGCCCTCTGCTGCACCTGAGAGTTGCAGCCCAGCTTAGGGAGTTCAGGGGCAACCCTGGATGTTGGACCATATCAGGTGAGCAAGAGGCATCGTCAAGGACACATTCCAGCCAAGGGAGGTGTGAAGCAGGGCCTGGTGAGGGTGGCCTGGGAAATGGCCTTCTCTGTGGCAGCCCCTCAGTTGTGAAACTCCCATGCCACCTTCCTTATACAGCTTCTGGCAAATTCTGAAGAAGCGCCTCTTCGCCTTACCCTTTCAACGCTTGAGGTGTGTCTTTTTAGGACTCACCCTATTTCTCTAATTGAAAGACGCTTTAAACTGTTTTTAATATTTTGTTGCATGGTTGTGCTTTAATGTCGTAACCTGCCCTGGGACCCAATAATAAATCATAAATAATTCCACTCAGAACAAATCAGAAGCATGACATCTCGCGCAGGGAAGCCTGCGGTTCGGATGCGAGGATCCCAAACGGTGCTCCCCGGGGAGCACAAACGGTCTCCAAATTCCCCATGTAAACACAGCCGTGGTGCATATCAAATGACAGGCAGCCCGTGAAGAAGGCAAGCCGTTTTCTTCCAAAAGATAAAATCTAAAAGCGAAGATTTAAAGCCTGCAATATTGCACAGCGGAGTTTAGCTAGCTGCCAGCAAGACTTCCTCGCAGGCTGGAGACCTTCCTCGTCGGCTGCCCGGTTAAGAGTTAAAATTCCTCAGATAATTCTAATTTAAACAATCTGTAGCCATCAGCACTAAGGAGGTGCCCGCCAGCTGGTGATGGTTAAGTGGTTCCTTTTTTTTTCTCTTCCAGAAACCTGAACCTATTAGCAAAGGGTCAAGACGTTCTGTTATACTCCGTAGCAAGTTTCAACAATGGTTGAAACCCTCTTGTAGAATGCAAGAGTCTTCCAGGGATGGGGGAGAGAGAGAGAAGATTTCATTTCAAGAGAAGGTTGGGAAAGGAACTCCCACAGATCTGCATTTCCAACTTTGAACAGTGCAACTGGAAGGTCCTGCAAACTCGGGGTATGGGGGAACGAGAAGGAAGCTCCACACACTTTCATTCACAGATGCTTACCTTCCTCGCAGTTCCTTCCCGCGAAGCCAGGACAGCATCGCCATTCCAGGGCAGTCAGTGTTCTGTAGGAGATCTTGTACATGGGTCTGATGAGAGTCCTGTAACTAACACAAGCAAGAGGTCACGCAGACTGCTCTGCCCCAAACCTGCCAACCTTGCAAATATCAAAAGCTGCACGTCTGCAAGTAAGCTCAGGTATGCTTTAATGCAAGGCTGACACAGGACAAAACACAAAACACTCACCCCCACTTCCCACTGGTCCTAGGCCTAGGAAGCATGGGTCCATGCAGTTTCCTACTTGTCCTGCTCCTTTCCCAGGGAAAATCCACCCTTTGGTGCTAAATAAGAGCAGAAGCCAGGACTAGTCTAGTCCACTGACTGCACACCACTGCTGTTCATTCTGACAGACTGTGTGCTAAAAAACAGTTTCCCCCCCAAGGGGAAAGCGGAAGTTTGGAACAAGAGGAAGTGTGGATGAACTGTAACAAGGGTACGGACTCCCAGGTAAACGAGTACAGGTGCAGCCTCACTGCAGTTTCATGAGAACATAAGACCCTCCTACTGTACAAGGCCATGCTTTCTCCTTCTTCCATGTGACAGCCCTTTAGATATTTGAAGATGGCTATCCTATCGCCTCTCAGTCTTCTCTCCTCCAAGCTAAACCTGCCTAATTCCCTCAACTGTCAACACACACAAATGGACTCAAAAGCGCCCCAGATGAGCCTGTCAACTTTCTGCCGGCACAATCGAGAAAGGAGACTTGCAAGTTGGATCCCAGTCTACAAGGCAATTGTGTGCTCAAATGGCTTCTTTGCAAAACTGATACGCATCGCAGGGCAAATGCTTTAAACACACAAGAGAAAGACATTTCCTGTGTAGTCCATTTGGGACCCAGGTTGCTATAAGCCGTATCTCTACCCCCTCCCCAATCCCCCCCCCCCAAAAAATATTGTCCTGACCAGTTTCCGGTCTTTAAAGTGTACTTGTTTCTGAAGAATTAGCCTTTGGTGCCAAATGTGGGATCTGATGTTCTGCATTCGGAATCGTTGCATGCTTGAAATCCGCTTAAAACAAGCAAACAACTCTCCCCCCAAAAAAGTGAAGTTCAAACATTCCAGCCGTGACTATTTACCAGTGACAGTTTCGATTTCTTGGTCCCTGGTGATTCCTTGCCCTTACCTTTGCCTTGTTAAAATGCCTTGTTAAAATCAGGGTGAGTTGCTAGATGCTAACCTATAGGTATCTGGTTAGCCTCTATGAGAACTGGAAAATGGATTTTAGCTGTGATTCCTTGCATTGCAAAGGGTTCTACTAGATGATTCTATGATTCTGCTTTTTAACACGTTGGGAGGGCTGACAGAAAAGTACACTGCCCCCCCCCCTCTCGCAGAAAAAGAAGAAATCATAATCTGATCCAAGCTTGCACATACCATCCTCAACAACCACCTTGGCACACCTTGGTAAAAGCTGGAGGCTGATCCTGACACTAGCTTGCCTAATAGCCTCTTAAAGCCATCTAAACCCGTCATCCCCGCATTGTGTGGCCAGTGAAATTCGCAGAGTTAATTATTTGTTGCCTGAAAAAGCACTTCCTTCTGTCAGTCCAGTAAACCGATTGCCAAACAGTTCCACTGGGTGAAACAGAGTTTATCCTTTATCCTTCCCTTTAAGTCGTCTTCTGTTTCACAACAAAAAAAGCCCCTAGTGTTTCATCCTCCCTTTATCAGAAAGATGGATCAGTTCCTTAAATAAATAAATAAAAAATCATAGAATCATGAGAGTTTGAAGTGGCCTCAAAAGTCATCTAGCCTAAGCCTGCCCACTTCCGATACAGCCTGTTCAAGATCGTGCACCGTCCTTAAAAGCTCTTCCAAATGCCCAACCGAAATGCCCTTCCTTGCAATTTGGATTCTGGAGCAACAGAAAGCAAATTTGCTCCATCGTCTATTTGACAGCCCTTCGGGATATTTAAAGGTGGCCATTGTGTGGCCTCTTGATCATTTCCCCTGCTTGGCTCATTGTGTTTGCCCTGTCTGCGCCTTCTCCTTTTTAACTCTGTGTCATTCTTTCCTTGCCTGCTGCCTCCAGACGTTTTGGGTTCCTACACCCACCATCCCTGAATCTGTCTTTACCTGTGATCCCTGCATTGCAGGGCATTAAGACTAGATGACCCCTGAGGTCCTTTTCAACTCTACAGTTCTATGATTCTATGATGCAGCATGTACACTCAACATGCCATGTCGGGCCTGCTTTCTTATCCACTTCCACAGCGCACAGGTAAACTGCGGCATTCATTCCCACAGGATGGGGCGAGGACCCACCCACCATCTTGAATGGCTTTAAAAGATCAGACAAATCTGTGCCTGTCAGTGGGTACCGTCAGGGTTGGAGTCAGACACTGGTCAGAATGAAAGATGTGAGGCTCCGTTGTCAGTGCAGTTAACTCTATATTCTGCTGGGTATCATAAATGGAGAGAGCGGTGTTGCTTGTGGGCTTCCACTGTGAGAATGGCCTTTGGCCTGAACTAAAGGTAAAGGTAAAGGTACCCCTGACCATTAAGGTCCAGTCACAGACGACTCTGGGGTTGTGGCGCTCATCTTGCTTTACCAGCCGAGGGAGCTGGCATTTGTCCACAGACAGCTTCCGGGTCATGTGGCCAGCATGACTAAGCTGCTTCTGGCAAACCAGAGCAGCGCACGGAAATACTGTTGACCTTCCCACCAGAGTGGTACCTATTTATCTACTTGCACTTCATACTTTCAAATTGCTAGGTTGGCAAGAGCAGGGACTGAGCAATGGGAGCTCACCCCATCACGGGGATTCGAACCGCCGACCTTCTGATCAGCAAGCCCTAGGCTCTGTGGTTTAGACCACAGTGCTACCCGCGTCCCTTGGCCTGAACTCGCAGGTCTTTTTATACACTCTTAACTTCTTCACTCCCTTCAGAACCACATTATTATTATTATTATTATTATTATTACAATTAATTTATTAATCGCCTTCCAAACCACCATCTCAAGGCAATTTCCATATAAGATGATCAAAATAGGGGGGCGGGGTCAACCAATACATTGAAAACAAAGACTAAAACCTTAACAAGTGCACACTTGTAGTAAAGACACCTTTATCCAGTTGGGAAAGACCATCAAAACAACAAAGTCTCCAACTGTTTCTGTAAAGTGCAGCTAGGGGGCGACTATCATATTTCAACAGGGATGCAATTCCACAGGACAGGGGCAGCCACCCTGAAGGCCCTGCTCTGAGCTCCTGCAGACAGGGCTTCTGAGATCTTTGCAGGAGAAGCTCTCCCACAGACTGCAGTGATCTGGTGGATGCACAAGGCAGTCTCTCAACTACGTGGGTCCTTCTCTGTGACTGCAAGCAGCCTGCCTCTACAACCCTGAGAAGAAAACCCACCATTCCAACCAAGCCAGGAGAAGTTATTCAGACAGCGGTTACCTCACTAAGTTGGCACAAGGTCCCGGCCACCGGCAGCTTTGATAAACCCTCTGGATCACAGTCTCTGAGCCATTCTGCACCTGGCAGGAAACAGTCCGGGTGACCGTGTGTTGACACCAGTGCCTGCAGAGAGAAACAGAAGGCAAACTCGATGTCATTAAGGCCAAATCGCTGACTGCTGCAAATCAAGAAGGTGGGACAACTAGCCCTATTATTAAAAATTCCAGTACTGGCTGGTCCACTAGGGCTGCTGCTGAGACAGAGCCCTCCCAAGGAGTCCAGCGCAGAGGCCATAGCTAAGCCACAGCCATCCCCGCACTGCCAGAACGCATGGATCCTGAAATAGTCTGGGCCCCTTTAAGAGCAGAGGCTCCGCCCATTAGGGAGGAGCTAGATGCTCAAAGGAAGCTGGAGGTCCAATTTAAGGCTCTGCCTAAGTTTGCTGGTTGTTAGAACGACATTCAAGCCTGCCTTGTCTCACTGCCAATGTGGGCTCCCCTTGGGGCTGTCCAAGGTGCTACCTTACCATGCTTTTCACTGCAAGAAGTGAAGTTATGGGGAAGCAAGCAGAGGGCATTCTCTCTCTGTGTGTGTGCAATGCTTTTTATGAGTTTCATTAGATATTACAAGTATTCCATTCATCTTCAAAACAACACAAGGTACACAAAATACAAAAAAAAAAAAAAGATCATGAAGAAACACCCACAGTTAAAGAAAATGTTCAACACTATATGTCTCCAGGATCTAACATAATGATTAGATTGTCTATTCGCTCTACGCGGGGCTGCCCTTGAAGCTGTCCCAGAAACTCCAGCGGGTACAGAATGCTGCAGCGAGGCTCCTCACGGGGTCTCTGCCATGGGAGCATATTCACCCAGTGCTTTTCCAGCTGCACTGGCTCCCGGTGGAGTACAGGGTCAGATTTAAGGTGCTGCTTTTGACCTTTAAAGCCCTTCACGGCCTAGGACCCTCGTACCTATGGGACCGCCTCGCCCGGTATGCCCCACGGAGAGCCTCAAGGTCCATAAATAGCAACACCCTAGTGGTCCCGGGCCCTAAGGAAGTTAGATTAGCCTCAACCAGAGCCAGGGCCTTTTCAACACTGGCTCCGGCCTGGTGGAACGCTCTGCCTCATGAGACCAGGGCCCTGCAGGATCTGATTTCTTTCCACAGGGCCTGTAAGACAGAGTTGTTCCACCTGGCCTTTAGCTTAGAGCCAATTTGATTCCCTCCCCCTCTTTCTTTTTCCTTTTTCCTTTCTCCTCCTGTGATGAGGCTGCGTTTTAATATTTTACTGTTTCAATATTTTAATGTTGTATTTTAATCTTGTTTTTAAGTTGTATTCATTCAACTTGTTTTTATTATTGCTTGTTAGCCACCCTGAGCCCGGCCTAGGCTGGGGAAGGCGGGATATAAATAAAAATTATTATTGTTATTATTATTATTACTTTTTAAAGGTGACTTCCGTCTACCTCACTGCAGGTCTTTTTTCCCCTTTTTCCAAGCAGAGGGCCTTCTCAGTAGTGGCACCCACCCTGTGGAATGGCCTCCCATCAAAGAGATAAATTATACAACCTTCTGTAGACATCTGAAGGCAGCTCTGTATCAGAAAGTTTTTAATGTACGGTGTTTTACTGTGTTCTGTTGGAAGCCACCCAGAGTGGCTGGGGCAACCCAGTCAGATGGGTCGGGTACAAATAATAAAATTATTATTGTTGTTGCTGTTGTTGTTATTAAAGGTGTCACATGTTCTCATCCTGAAGGCCCCCTCAGCAATCTGGCTGCCACATTCTGCACCAGCTGGAGCTTCTGAACCAGGTCGAAGGGCAGCCCCACAAAGACTGCATTTGGGAAACAAGCTTGTTTCAGCTCTCCCTGGAGATAGGATGAGCATCCAAATAAATATAATGTTGGCCAGCCCTTCTTCAGATGCTAGAGAATGCGCAGAGCTACTGGGAGCAAACCACAGAACCGACGTCTAGCACTACCTCTACTGAGCTATCTTTTTTTGTGCCAATGAACCTGGAGGAAAGGAAACAAGGTGGAACATCATCTAAGCAGAATTAAACTCCATGAAAAGATTTGCCGCTGGAGGGGACGGCACTCAAGAATTGTTTACATTGCCCAACGCACTTCAAAGCCTGCATCCCAGGATAAAGGATTTCCTAGCAATAAAGCAAGCCACCTAATTAAAAAGCTCTTCTCGGTCTGTCAGATGCACCCTCTAATCTTTATGGGAGTAACATGGCTTTGACCAGACAGAGCTGTAATTTTAAGACTAAGAGAGAGCCTTTTTTTTTTTAACAACAACAACAACTTTCAAGTGAATAATGGAGTCTGCTGAATTTTCACAAAGCACATGGAAGAAGTGTCCTTTATGTTAGATTTTTGTGTGCCCCAGATGTTCCTGTGTGATTCGGAGAGTCCTATCTAGGCACACTCGCAAACCTGGAGGCTTCCGGTCAGACCTGGAGTTCAGGCAACCCTAATCAATGTCCAGGATTCCAAGGAGCCATGGATATGGAAGTTCCCATGTCTCTCAGCGTCTGTGCATGATACCATGGTTCCCTACCTACCTATGGCCTGATGGTTGCATCCTGGTAAGTAAGAGGGAAAGAGCGGGATTTCACAGTAGAGTCTCAACGTGCAGCCAATCCAATTAGCCCCATTAGCTAAAGTGGAACCTCAGGTTAAGAACAGTTTCAGTTTAAGAACGGACCTCCAGGACGAAATAAATTCTTAACCAGAGGTACCACTGTATTGTTTTTCAATATCTGGAGTGTGCTTGGCATACCTTCTTGGGGTTCTTACAGATAGAAAACCCCTTCACAGAGAGAACTTGTCTTTTGCATAATAGGACATACGGCCACACAACTCCCAGTCGTACTATCAGGAGCTGCGTATACTTAATGCATTACAGTGGTACCTCGGGTTACATATGCTTCAGGTTACAGACTCCGCTAACCCAGAAAGAGTACCTCAGGTTAAGAACTTTGCTTCAGGATGAGAACAGAAATTGTGCTCTGGCGGCGCAGCGGCAGCGGGAGGCCCCATTAGCTAAAGTGGTGCTTCATGTTAAGAACAGTTTCAGGTTAAGAACCGACCTCCAGAATGAATTAAGTACTTAACCTGAGGTACCACTGTATAAGCAAGTATTCTTCATGCACTCGTAATTCTGGCATGCATGAAAAATAAAAACAGGGAGACTATCACTGGGTAGAGAAAATGAGACTGTTCAATTCAGCTAAAAGCTACTCAAATCTTTGTTGTGTCACCTCACCTCAAAAAGGATATTGAAGAGTTCAAAAAGGTTGAGAATGGAGCGCAGGTGTCTGCGACTTCTTAGTTTAGAGAAAAGACGAGAAAGAGATGACACGATAGAAGTTTATAAAATTATGTAAGGCATGGAGAAAGTGGATAGAGAAAACATTTCTCCCTCTCTCATAACACTAGGACTTGTGGCCACCCAAAGAAGTCAGAATGATTCAGGACAGGTGAAAATGCAACACATAGTTAAACTATGGAACTCCCTCCCACAGGAGACAGGGATGGCCACCAACTTGAATGGTTTTAAAAGCCAGATTAGACAGATTCATGGAGGATAAGGCTACTGGCGGCTCTTAGCCCTGAGGGCTATGCTCTAACCTCCACAGTTGGAGGCAATAATGCTTCTGAATACGAGCAGCTAGAAACCACAGGGGGCCAGAGAGTGCTCTTTAGCTTGAATTCTGCTTGCATGTTTCCCACAGGCATCTGTGAGAACAAGATGGCGGACGATATGGACCACTGGCCTGACCTAGCAGGCTCTTCTTATGTTCTTATACAGTGGTACCTCGGGTTACACACGCTTCAGGTTAAATACACTTCAGGTTACAGACTCCGCTAACCCAGAAATAGTGCTTCAGGATGAGAACAGAAATCGTGCTCCGGCGGTGCGGCAGCAGAAGGAGGCCCCATTAGCTAAAGTGGTGCTTCAGGTTAAGAACAGTTTCAGGTTAAGAACAGACCTCCGGAACGAATTAAGTACTTAACCCGAGGTACCACTGTAATGGACTTCGGGTCAAGATGATGCAGCTATACATCTGAATAATCCAGCTTACAGCCCATCCGAAAGATACGGTACCTAGTTGTAAGGGAAGGGAGAAGGGTTCGAGTTCTCAGTGGCAGCTAGCTTTCTATATGCAAGGAATCTTTTTTTTTCTGGAGTGGGGGGAATGGTGCAGTTCACAACCACATGAGCTACAGGCAAGATACTGGTTGACGTCTGTGAGTTGGGGAGTGGGAATTTTCCTTTCTTTTAAACCAATATCTTAAACAGCCCCACTGACGTGCAAAAGCGTTCCAAAGCCCTAAGACGAAACGGTAATGAAAAGACCTCCATCTTAGGTTTTAGAGATTATAGATGCCCCCCCACCCCCGTCAACTCTATTACATACAGATGTACTGGTGCAAGAACGCAGCTGGCCCGAGCCCAGGATAGCAACAGATACGCTGAGCAAAATGTAACAGCTCAGATTTCAACTCCCCAAGTGCACAAGCCTGCTGTGTCTTTCAAAACTATGTCCATCAGCAACTGATTTAACAAAAGCTTTACAAAAAAATGCCTTACAGGGTTCACTCTCTGCTCAGTGTTTATATTTATGGACTGGGCTACTTCAGTATAAGTGGGAGGGTTGCCAGGGTTGCCAGGGTTTTTTTGGGGGGGGGTTCTCAGTACCGTGCCCCCCTGGGGGTACTCTGCTTCACCTGGGCCACTGCAGGAGCAGGGGAAGGTATTCGGTCCAGATTACATTTTAAAGGTGAATCTGCCTCATTCACTTTTCCAAAAACAATTCACAAGCCAAAGCATAGCCAAAATTCACCCCTTTTCCAAATTTTACAGTGCAGTTCTCTGATCAAGCAATGTGCACTGAAATGCTTACACCAGGGTAAAGCGTTATTACAATTAAATGCATTGTTGTTGCTGTTTTTATTGTTAAATCATGTGGTAAATCACTGGTAGAGACAATTTGTGTGATAAGCAGACATATGAGCCACTTCCTGCAAAAGGGAAAGTCCCATAGCAATTCAGAACAAGAGTGAAATACAGTGGTACCTCGGGTTACATACGCTTCAGGTTACAG